CTCCGGTCGCAACTAGGGAACCGGCTGCGCTGTTCCTAGCCCCACCTCCGGCTCCCGGTCCTATAATCACGCCGGCGGAGGCACCATCATTACATTCACTTCCGCCCAACAGGCCGTCCTCGGCACACAGCTGTCCAACAAACGGCGGAGGGCAGGAGCTCTGCAGCTGCACCGCATCACCGCCGGAATCTGCTGCCACGAGTTGCTGGTTCGCCTCCGCCGCCGTCGGCGTTGCTGTGGAGAAGGTGAGAGACATTTTGATCTGTTGTGTGAGAATGTTGCAAGTCGCAACTGGAGGTGAGGCTACAAGTATTGGGGATTACTGCTTAAAAGGAGTATTGTTATATAGAGTAATGATGATTTTGACCGGGAAGAACTGAAAAGTCATACCACCAACTATCCAACCGCGTCCAGAAACCCAGTCAAAAGTTCTGCGCACAAGTTTTTTTTTATGGTTAATCAAAATTGCATTTGAAGCCCGGGGAGATGCAACTCGCATCTCCCTCTCAAAATATCAACGTTTTACACTCCAAAGAAACCTATAATAGTAACTAAACAAACCAAAAAAACAAACTCTATAAGCCAAGCACATCTTTGGCCATCTTCTGTAATTCTATAGTACTGCTTGAGTATAACTCGAACTCCTGCAAAACAGTGGTTGAGATTTGAGTAGGGTCTGAAATTCTTTTGGCGCCATAAACCCGAGTACATCTCTCTCTCCAGCACATCACCCATAACAGTCTTCCAATCTTAGCTGTCGAGTTTGTACCCGACCATCGCTGCACCACCCAATTCAACTGAGAACTCCAATCTGGGAAAAGAGGCCACCTGCAAATCTTCTGTAACACTAACTGGAAAATTTTAGCACTATAAGAACACAAGGAAAAAATATGGTCTCTGCTTTCAAAACCACCAGGGCAAAGAGTGCAGCAACTTTCATCTGCCAATCCCCAACTAACAAGGTTATCCTTCGTGGTAATGCGATCCAAAACCACCAACCAAACCAGCAAACTGTGTTTCGGTATAAAAGGTTTACCCCACAACACAGAACACCAGTCAACAGGTGAAGAAGGAGCACGAATGGAAGCCCAAACAACCTTAACTGAATACTTCATCAATTTTTGACCATCCCAAGTCAGATTACTACCTGCACCAGATCGAGACATGAGTGTGAGCCAATTCTCTGCATTTAAGCACCTTCTTTCACACCCATGAGCTGACTGAGCTTGCAGGAATCTCCCATATGTCATTCCCTTTAACCCTATACTTCTGGATCCAGGCAACCCATAAAGAGCCAACCTCAGCAAGTAAATTCCACAGGTGCCTCAAAACACAGGCTTTATTCCATGTTTTGAAATCTCTGATCCCTAAACCCCCTTCTGCTTTAGGCATAGCAACTTTAGACCAAGATACAGGTGCTCTCTTCCTCCTATTCAAACCAACTCCCCACAAGAACTTATTACACACCTCTTCAATGGATTTCAAAACTCTCATTGGTAAGAGGAAGACTGCCATCCAGTACTGAAACACACTAGTGATAACAGAAGAGATTAACTGAATTCTCCCTGCATAGCTAAGAGTCTTGGCTTGCCAAGTGGTAATCCTCTTAGTGATTCTACTCACCAGAATGCTACAATCCTGAGCTGACAACCTACCTGAAAGAAGAGGAACTCCAAGGTGTCTCACTGACAATTCCCTCAAAGGGAAACCTGTAAGATCTGATATCCACTTCTGCTCTTCCTTAGAAATTCCTACACAGAACAGTTGGCACTTGGCCAAATTGCATCTCAACCCAGAAACATGGTAGAATTTATCAAGCAATCTCTTTACCCCAGCAACTGCCCTGACTGAACCATTGGAAAGTACTAGTAAATCATCCGCAAAGCAAAGGTGAGTAATTTCAAGACTTTTGCACCTTGGATGATAAGGGATAAGATTCTGTGAGACATCCCTAGCTAACATACAGGAAAAGACCTCCATGGCAATGGTGAAAAGGTAGGGGGACAATGAATCCCCTTGCCTTAATCCTTTGCCTGCTGGGAAATAACCACACAGCCCCCCATTAAAAGCCACACTCAGCATAGGAGTAATGACACAAGCTTTAATCAACTTAATGAAACTCACAGGAATGTTCATAGCCTCCATAACCTTTAATAAAAAATTCCAATCCACAGAATCAAACGCTTTCATCAGGTCAATCTTCAAAACACATCTAGATGTGATGGAGGTCCTATGATAATCTTTAACCAGCTCTGCGCACAAGTTGTTCACAACGTTAATAAAATATTGTATGGGTAAGTTAAGCATAATATATTTAAGGAGTTTTATATTTCGTTTCTAAACTAATAATATTTATAATAATATATTAAAATTCAAAATAAAATATATAAAATTGTTATTTTTTAAATATAGAAGTACTTGCATTCAGTATTGCAGGTTTTTCTAAGATGGTGGGGTCGACATGAAATCCAAGATTCAAGCCACATAGAAAAATAAATTTTAATTATTTCTCCCATAATACCAAATCACTTGGGCCACCACATATGCAATTATAAGTGAATTGCTGTGATGTAGATACAAAGAAACTAAGATGAATTGGATTGCATAAATTGCAAGGTGGTAATTAGTAAATTATATGCATTTGATTGTACAATTGTATTGATGTGTATACTCTAATGCTACACTTATTATTTAACGGATAATATTCTTTCATTTTAAGTCATAATTTAATTTTTTACAGATAAATCATATTAATTGTATTTTTTAAAAATAACACGTACTTTTATATATTGGGGGATTAGACATTTATTACCAGTTCATATCATGGTAGTAATGATTGGTTATACATAAGATTATATTATTTGGTATGAAAGTGTACCATGATGATATGAATAAATCATAGTGCAGAATAATTATATAGATTATAGTATGAATATACTAATTTTCATTTACCACATTTAATCACCGTTTACCATTAGTTATCATCCTATCTAAGGGTGGTATGTTTGGTCCTGTAATTTTTCCCTCATAAATTTGCATAGATTCAATAGATTGCGATGAAATCGTTTCTTGTGGGCAAATGTTTTCAAAACATCAGTGAAAACAGAGATGGTACAGAGTGGTAGCAGGATTGTAACGAGTGGTATGAGTGGTACGAAAATTGTTTTTCAAATGTATTGAACATAGATATCGTTTTGTAGATCATAACGGACTCGTTCTAGCTGTACAAAAAATTTTGAAATCTAAATTAAAACAAAGAAGATAAAAATAGATTAAAAAGAGATTGAGAATAAATAAAAACTAGTGTGGCCCCGGCCATTTGGCCGGAGGAAGGCGAGGTATGAAATTTGATAATGTAATGAGGTGTATATCTTATTGTTGTATAATTTTTTTTTTAGAAACACATGATAAAAATAGTGAATTTTAGTAGGAAAGAGATATGAATGATGCAACGAATCAAAAATCAGTCTTATGAATCAAAATCAAGTACCTGTTACCTTGTGAAACAATATTGTTTCTGGTAATATGATGAGGTGGAGTAAGTTTTATAGAAACCGAATTCCAGAAAATCGAATAAAAAATCGCCTATCCCGCTGGTTTTCGGGAAATGAGCATCTCACAATCGTTGCTAGTTTTTACTCGGCCCGTTAGCCGATTAATGTGCATTATAAAACTTTCATCTTGTCATCATTGTGTTTTCTGGTTTTTTTCCAAGCCATGATAAAATCTAAAGAAATCAAGAATGAACAACATAATTTGAGATAGGAACCACCGTTCCTGTATCCCTAGAAAATGGTGCTAAACACGGACTCACCTGCCAATCTGGTTTGGATTGAGATTTTTATCGGGTATCTGAGAACCATGTGATTATAAATTGGACTTGATGAAAACGGGCCAAAACTTGAAATTCAGCATGTTTGACCGACCCCTGCCAAACTCTAATGAAAGAAAAGAGATGACTGCAATTCGCCATTTGTACATCACTGATTCGGGAATAAAACTATAGAAATTCGAAAGGAAACTGAAAATGTTTAGGAACGTTTTAATGTTAAAAATAACCAAATATATCTTTTTGTTTAGTTTTTTTACTAAAATTAGTTTTTTACTAATAAATACCAAACGATTCCCTATAATATACACTATAATTTAATCATTATGATATCAAATAATTACATAATATATATTTGAAATGATAAAAATTGGACTAATTTGGTTGGTCGAGGTTGAACCATTGAATAACTTTAAAATACATTATATTTTAGCCACTAAGATATAAAATAATAGCATAATATAAATTATGCTAGATAAAATAGCTTGTTTTAGAATGACAAACCCATGATGTTGATTTGTTTTACTTGATGGGCAAATCTCGTGTAGGTCAGGCCCATTCAACTCTTTTATTTTATGATTAGCGGTTAGCCCATTAGAATCCATGCATTAGTTTATTGTTAATTTTTATTATTTTTAGCAATAAAAAGGAGTATTGTTTTTGCCTTTTCATATATATTTTACCAGCACGGAGAAATAAAAGGACTTAAAGGAAAAAAATTGACACTCCTGGACCCGTTTAAATCCGCATGTGTACGGTAAGTTGACCCGTTCCCCAGAGGAAAAAGAAAAAAATTGACACTCTCTATTCTACCCTTCCTACAAACGCTCCTGGAGCAGGAAATTTGAAATGGGGAAGGGTTTTTTCTGCTTTGAAATTATATGTTTTTAATTTAAAAAGATACAACAAATGTACTTAGTGTGATTGGTTATGATCTTTGGTTTTCTTTAAAGTGGTCATGGTTCGAATCCTAGTAATTGTCTTTTTAATGAATAAAAAAAAAGAAATTGTGAAGACCAAAATGTCCTTCCTACTTTTACTCTGGATGCAGGAAATTTGAAATGGAGCTTCAAGTTTTCTCATTTGGCTTTTATTTATTGTGTAGAAACACTTCAATCTCACCCCTTATTTTTTTTGGTATAACAACGGGATGCTACGGGCACCCCAACTGTTAACTAACAACCAACCGGGATGTCTCCACCCCAATCAAATCGTACAGCAGCCAGTAATTCAACAGTGGGTCCGGCTCATCAACGAAATGCAATCCCTGCTGGAGTTTATGTCCTGCCGAAGCCAGGTAATCGGCGACGAAATTGGCTTCTCTGTAGACATGAGTTAACTGAACCTGCCACTCCAGCGCCAGCAGCCGGCGAGCTTCCTGCACCAAGAGAAAGTGGGGATGCCGGATTTCAGCTTCCCTAATAAGCTTGATAGCCGTTTGCGAGTCCGTCTGAACTATTAACCTCCTTATGCCCTCGTCCCAAGCAACCTTCAAGCCCTTCACAATGCCTTCCAGCTCCGCTCGCGTTATAGAGACCTCCCCCAACTTCATAGAATAAGCCCGCATTAGTCGCCCTTGCTCGTCCCTTACAACACCTCCCGCCGCAGCTTGCCCATTCGTCACCGACCCGTCCGAGTTCAACGCAGCCCATCTTTGCGGAGGCTGTTCCCACCTTATCTCTTTCACGTGCCTTCGTGGAGTAGCCTCTGTTCCCAGAATTCGCTCCGGGGACGCAAGTCCGATTCTATGGACCAAGTTTGCCACCCGTTTCCTGATCACTTCCGGGGCATGCATTTCCTTCTCAAACACATATTTATTTCTTCCTTTCCAGAGAAGCCAGCAGGTGCCGGCGAATAATGTGGGATCCATTACCTTGCTCCGTCCCATGAGATAGTGCATAGCCCATCTAACTCGATCCTGCTGGAAAAATACTTCATCTGGTTCATCCCCCAGCAGCTCCGCCCACACAGCTCTAGCCAACGAACAGTCACGCACCACATGGAGGGCGCTCTCCTCCTCATGCTCGCATATCGGGCATTCCTTTGACTGGCTCAAGTGCCGCCGCGCACGTTCACAGTTCGTAAGTAACCTGTCATGCACAAACAGCCAGAAAAAGGCTCGAATCCTCTGTGTTGCTGGGATCCTCCAAACCACCCGCCACGCTGGATGCCTGCCCCCCGGTCTTTCCTCCTCGTCCGTCAGCTCATACGCCGTTTTCAGACTGAATTCTCCGTTTGGAGTAAGCCTCCACACAGGGATATCCTCTTCTGTTCCGCTAGGTACTGGATGCATCCGAATTTGGTTCACCACACTCTCTGGTAGGAACGCCCTCATGTAATCTGTGTTCCACTCCCCGTTGAGGTTTAGCTCCGCCACTCTCAACCCACTCGCTTCCTCCGGTAGCTCCCCTACGTGATCCGCCAATGGGGGCCCATCCTGCAGCCACCTATCATGCCAAAACAGCGTTTGCCTTCCACTTTGAACCGTCCACATGGTTGCTTCCGGCAGCAGATGCATTAAACGTATCACTCCCCTCCATAGGTTCGAGATCCTTCCCGTTCTTCGTGGGACAAAGCCATCAACTGTCTGCTTCATATATTTTGCACGAATTACACGTACCCATAAACTCTCCGTCTCCGTCATCAATCTCCACAATACTTTCAGCATAAAAGCCTCGTTCATCCTCTCCGCACTGCGAAGACCCAAACCACCCTCCTCCTTCGGTCTGCACAAGGTTTTCCAGTCAATAAGGTGCATCTTCCTTCCTGCCTCTGAGCTACCCCAAACAAAACCCCGGATCTTCCTGTCGATGTAATCCCAGACACTAGCTGGTAAGAGGGTCGTCTGCATAGTATAGGCTGGGAGGGACGTCAAGACGGCTTGAGCTAACGTGATCCGGCCTGCCAGAGACATACTACCTGCCTTCCATCCGGCCAATCTAGCATCAATTTTATCGATCAGCGCTGTGAACGTGTTCTTCGAAACCCGATCATGGATCACCGGGACTCCCAGGTACCTGCCAAGATTATTTGTTGCCGGGATTCCCAACGCTGAGCTGAGTTCCTGGTTCTTCGCTGCAGTTACATTCCTCGAGAAGTACACCCGAGATTTCTGTTTACTTATTTGCTGCCCTGACGCTTCCCCAAACTTCTCGAAACAATTGAGGATAACCTCTACCTGCTCCAAGGAGGCCTCTCCAAACAGTATCAATCTCACCCCTTATATCTAACTCCACTGAAAATCAATAACCCGAATATGATTATACAAGTGCGCGCCGAGGTTTTGCACTCTGTCCTTTATACCTATTTTTACTGTTTTTCTTTTTTCAATTATATTGCATCAAAAGGAAACACAAGAAGATTTTTTATATATATTGACAATGGTTGATAATGTTTAGAACATTAAATTTCACGATCGTCTTCCATATTAAATTATTAATAATCATTGAAGTATCTACAATCCCATGACAAACAATATTCATAACATTATTTGAACCCAAATTTATCTTATTTTATGTTCGATACATCATACAAGTAACTAAATCATCTCCCATCAATCCACACGCACAGAATAAAAAAAAAAATTTAGGGGTCGTTTGGAAGTTGCGATAGTTTTGTTGAGATTGTCATTATGCATGTATTGTTTACAATGCATCGTTTTTTTGTTTTTTTAGCAGAAACAATACATGTATTGTTTCTGTGATGTGACAGAAACTATCACTCATTTTGAGTGATTGTTATATCTCAACTTTTAGTTGTAATCGTTGAGATAGTTGAGTTGAGATTGTTTTGTTTCAGCTTTTAGCTGATGCGACATACAAAATCACACATACCAAACGTTATATTCTACAATGCATCAAATTCGACAATACATGTATAATATTATACATGCATTCTCAACAATACATCTATTTAACAATCGCAACTTCCAAACGACCCCTTATATTATCAAAACAGCAATCTAGTGATAGGAGTCATAAGACATTACACCGCGACCGGAGCTTCTTCTTCTCCACGACGACGGGCCATTTCGGTAGTAGGTTGAAGAAAGCATAAACAGTTTAATTAAGAAGATAACAGAGAAGAAGGATTCAACACAAATTTACCCTTTTGGAACCAGCAGCAGCCATAGCAGAGGAGGTGAGAAACAGAGAGAGGGGCTCAATCAGGTCAGGACGTGGTTTCGGTTTGGAAATTTTCAAAATTGCGTTGATATAGGAGGAGAAATCGAAAGGGTAAGTAGTTTAGAGTATGAAAAGGAATCTTCTTTTACTAATGGAAGTAGCCCTCAGCTGGGCTGCCATTTCTTGGAAAACAGAGTGAAAGGGTGATCTTGTTGTGTTGGTTTACGTATCGACTTACAGTCAGAAGTAGAAAGGAGATTCCTATCGTTTTTGGAAGGTTTTTAATAAGTTGAGCGTAAGCGGGAAAGGCCTAAAGGGTGTTCTCGTTGGAATTTTGTGGGTTTTCGGGGAATTTTTCGCCGTCGGCCGGGAAAAAAGACGAACCAGCACCGTCGGGAGGTAGCGCCGATCAGCCCATTTGTAAGTCTTTGTTTAGGTATCTTATTCCGGGCCAGGCCCATAGTGGCTATCGTTGGGCTTTCACGGTCGGCCAGATTTATGTAGTGGGCTAGGTCTATTGGTATGTGGAAATATTACAGTTTTGGTGCCCAAAATTGATTCAAGAAGTATTTTTTTTAACCTCGGTTAATTTAACAGAGGTTAGAAAAACAATTAGAGACTAAATTTCACCATTGTCTTCCATACTAATGAGAAATATATATGTGGTACCATAAGGATGCTGAATGTACAAGCTTCTGTAAGCAAAGATTCTCTTAGATAATCAAATGAAATTGATAAATGTGTGTTAAATGTTTGGATCAGTTTGATGATGTCTTTCTAAAGGGTGTTCTCGTTGGAATTTTGTGGGTTTTCAGGGAATTTTTCGCCGTCGGCCGGGAAAAAAGACGAACCAGCACCGATGAGCCCATTTGTAAGTCTTTGTTTAGGTATCTTATTTCCGGGCCAGGCCCATAATGGCTATCGTTAGGCTTTCACGGTCGGCCAGATTTGTGTAGTGGGCTAGGTCTACTGGTATGTGGAAATATTACAGTTTTGTACAAGCTTTTGCAAGCAAAGATTCTCTTAGAGAATCAAATGAAATTGATAAATGGGTGTTAAATGTTTGGATCGGTTTGATGATGTCTTTCTAAAGTGATGAGTTTTTGGCTAAATAACTCATTGTAGAAAAAATAAGACAAATTTCTCTCCCTATGAGAGTTCAAATTTCTACATACAGAAATGTTGCACTTTTTTCACGGTAAAATAATATATTTCAACTCATACAATTCGTTACGAGACCATTGATAAAAAAAAGTGCCTCAAAAATATCTCATTAAGATATAAAAATACTGTATAATTAACATAGGAAGAAAAAAAAATCTTTTTCATTGTTGTTGCTACTCTCACATTCTCTCCTAATTATTAGCCACCTCTACTTAGGGGTAGACAACGATCCGGTTCAAAGCATACGATTTAAGATTTTGATCGAATAAAATAATATTTTGACTAAAGTGTTATCTCATGTACTATTTTAAGCATGACTAAAAAATAAACCAAAATTGAATTTTGCCTAAATCGAATCAAACAAAACATACTTTTACATACTCTTGCCATATGATCCTTGACTGAATCAACCAATACTCACCCAAAGGATTAAAACCCATACTCAAAACAAATAACCCAAAACATAAAGGGTTAATAACATAAATATTGTCTTTTTAAAAAAATTTACCACCAATATGGCGGTTTAAAAACTAATTACATGTATATTGTGTTTTTTGTAGGTTAATAGTGGGCCCGTCCGAGACTCAGGCGCTGGCGCATTTTGAATGTTTTTTAACGAGTCAAAGGCTAGCGCATGAGACTCAGGCGGCCTCGCATTCCTCTTTTCTTATCTTCTTCTCCACCACTCACCTCTCGCCCGAGAGACAGAAATACACCGCAGCAGCCGAGCTCCGTCTCCCCCCAACCCCACGCCCAGTTCCTAGGCTTATGGACAGTTATTCCATGAGACCACCGCCTGCGACAATTGATACAGCTCCGTGGATCCGGTACTTCTTTGAGGGCATGGTCACCATCATATTGACTTAGTTTAGGCAAACGAGGTAAGTTTTCAAACTATTTCTATAGTTTTTTTATTAGTTGAACTGAAATTAGAATAGAATAGAATTACGAATGAAATATATGTTAAAATTAGAATAAGTTTAGTTTAGATTAGATATATAAATATAAATATTAGGTGAACTGAATTTAGAAGTACGCATGAAATTGAATTAAGATAAGTTTTGTGCACTATAGGCTGGTGATCGACCTTACCACATTCGAGGTACGAGCAATTTAGTCAGATACCATCCACTTGATCAGTCGTATCTCGTCGATGCGCACTTGTTTATGGTTCTGCCATTGGCCCCTCCTACCGGTGATCCGGGTTTGATTACTGCACTCGTAGAGCGTTGGGGACCCGAGTCATCGACCTTCCACATGTCGTTCGGTGAGGTGACGATCACTTTAGAGGACGTTGCGACACTGACCGGTCTAGCGATTGACGGTGGTGCACTGTGAGTGTGTTTGAACCCGTCATGTTGAAATTGTTGGGAGGAGTCTGAACTACATAGATGCCTTGATGTCGATCAACCCCGTTACAGAATTTCCAACTGCCTTTTGTGACCATGGCTTCATCTTCTCTTACCACTTGATGTTGTATTGTGAACGACCACTTCTAATTTGTGCTTCTGTCTCCAACCTCATCTTATCGAGTTTCTCCAGCAATCGCCAATAGGTTTGTTGCACATGAGAAGTTTTAGGA